GGAAAAGAAAAAGTAACAAAAAATTATTTACAAATATTTCTTTTTTTTTTTTTTTTTTAATTTAGGAATGGGAATTGTACAATTTGATTTATTGGATCATCATCTAATTCATGCGAACAATTTTTATGCGCAAATGTTTGGTAACACGAATTACACTCAGGTATATATAACTCAAAAGTAAATAATTTTAATAAATGAAAAGGAGTAAAATTTCATATGCTCATGATTTATCATACATTTTAAAAATTAATTTAGCTAATTAGGATTTAATTTTGAAGATTTGTTGATTATAATCAAAATTAAATCATACTGTATTTTATATATTACTGATAAATTATCATAATTATCGTGTGGTGCAACATATTGCAAAAAATACTTATCAAGTAAGATAATGTAGCAATATTTTTCAAAACTTGATAATTTAATTTAACTGATTTGATAATTTAATGAGCAGTGATAATATTTCTATTGGAATTTTTAATAATTTTATGCTAATCAAAGAAAGCATAATAATTGCACCAAAAAATTAATTAGCTATTATATTTAATGGATTATTTGTAAGCAAATTAACAGGTGCAAACACAAACAGGTGATGATGATTTGGATTGTTATATACAAACTGAAGAAGTGGATAAAGAAACTGTCTGGACACAAATTCCATACTCGGGTATTTTTTTAGATAAGTTTATAGTTCATTCATTGCATTTTTTTTCCCCCTTCATGTAATCATACGGTAGCAGAATTACTGTTACAAATTACTATTGTTATCAAGGATTGTTGTTATCAAAAGATTACTGTTGATATCAAAGGTTACGTTACAACAACTGATACCAAAAGACAAGAATACTATACACAAATATGATCGAGTTATACTATACATAAAAAAATTATATAAATACTTAAATTTTTTTTTTTTGGAGTCATTTGAATAAATGTTTGAATTTTTATAAACCCATGAAGAAATTCTTATGTAATTTTTTCTTAAATTATTTGATTAGTTTAGATGATCGAAGTTGGTATGGTATAGTGAATAATTCTAGTGATATCGTTTATCACAAATATTGCAATATTGATAATCCTGAAATTGAACTTTTCAAAACTTATCATTTTGAAATGGAAAAATTTTGCAAGTTTATTTCTATTGCTGGTCAGGTAATTTCTTTTTTAGATATCCACAAGCTAATAAATATATTACAATTATGTAAAAATGTCGCATTAGAAAAATTTTTGAACAATAACATAATTGGCTTATTTTCGACTTGAATGTTAAAAACAACTGATTTTTTTTTAAAATAACTAATCCAATGATTAGACAAAGTAACAGAAATTTACAAATTCCAGAAAAAAAAAGAGTAGTAAAAATTTTTTCTTGTTCAAAAAATAATTTTGCTGAAAATTGATGAAAAAATATTTGCAAAAAAAAAAAAGAACAAATTTAAAAGTTTCATTGCTATTTTAATGCTTTAATAATTATAGTGAAAGATAGAATAAATTGCTTTTATTTAATTTATTCTTTTAAAAAAAAATAATACATGTAATTTATTTTTTAATCTGATGTAAAAACTTCATACCACAGGTTTATGTTAAATAATTAATGATCAATTTTGCAGGAAATAATTGTTAACATGTTAATTTAGTATTTAATTTATCACTATTTGTAGGTTTTTATCGATATAATGCAATTATCATCAAATAATGAAACCAAACTATCATTGGAATATCATACATCGTTTAAATTTAGTACAGGTTTTCGAAAATTTTCATTGGATAACCTTGTAAATTGTAAATTTTTGTTTCTCTTTTTTTTTTCACATGTTAATTTTACAATATAAAAGGAAAAATTGTTAAAAATAAAATTAACCAAAACTATTGAATTATTTAAAGGAAAAATGCAAATGACAAATTATTCATAAATTATCTACTGATAAAATTTTATGTACATGGACAGAATTAATTGATAAATTAATTCCGTTCTTTAGGTATTAAATATTTTCAATCCCATTCATAACTTAAGCAAGAAGAAAAGCAATTTTTGACTTCCTTATTTTTTGGTGTAGGTTAAGTATATTTTAAAAATTGCAAAAATATTATGAAGTGCGAAATGTGGGTTAGTAATATTCAAGCTATCATTTAGTTTTTAATCTATACGTTTTTTATTTTAGAAATAATTATAACAAATAAAATAATCGATTAAATCAATATTGAAATTTAAAATTTGAAAATTTTTTTTTTTTATGAGCAATATTTTTAGCTGCTAAAATTACAAGTGTATTTCATCGGGGGAATCGTTTGTTTGTAGCATTTTATGTTGAGCAAGCATCAAGTGAAGAAATTATCAATCGAAGTATTATCGCTGAATTCGATATTTGCATATCAAATGCCCCTCAAAAGTGACATTTTCAATTAATTAGGAATTGAATAAAATTAAATTCTGAATTTAATTCGATAATTTCAAGAACTGGATGGTGAAATATTGTTTACTGAATTCTACAGTATTTGCAAATTTTCCCTTCATACAAATAAAGTTTTCAGAATATTACTTTGTCATAATGAAGTACGATGTTTTTGTACATCACCGGATGGCATTAGTGCTGTATTTGTTGGCCTGGTAAGTTAAATCATTATTCCATGTTAATTACTACCAATTTTCTTTCCAATTTTACACGACATAAATAATTTGATTGAAATAAAATTAGAAAAATTAAAATTTTAAGGAAATTGATTGAGAAGACATAAAGAGGAAAAAAAATCGCTGCTTAATTTTACGCTATGTGATTTTAAATTTAATTAAAAACAATGCTTCCTTGGTGAATGTTGACAAAATATTTAAATCAGGGAATTTTTGCATAAAATTTTTTAAGAAATTGAGTAATACACGTAATTTTATCAAAAAATATGGTTAATTTAAAATTTTAATTTGATGTTTGTTTACGTTTGCGCAAATTTAGTTTAAAAATTTTAGCTATTTCATTAAATGAAAATTTTAGGATTAAACAAAATTATTGCAACCAATGCTATTCCGTTCTTTTCTTTTAGGTGAATTTTTTTCTTTTTTTAATTTATGCAATTAATTAATGAAGTAAATTCATTTTTTTCCTTTTTTGGTAACATAGAATGATGGTAGTTGTATGGCATACGATCTCAGCGAATCAAATTCATTGTTTACAACGAAATTACGATGGTCTAGAAATGGTGAAATATTTCCGTTAAGAACGGCAGCTTATGATACTTCTTTTAAAGCTGTTACCAGTAAAACATTTGAAGAGGACTATCAATTTGCTATTGTTGCAATTAGTGATATCCCATCTGATACAGACAAGTAATTGATTAATTAATTAATTCAATTCATTCATTCTTATTTAGAGTAATGAATAGAATTTGAAGAATTTGAATATATGTGAGGAACAATCATTTATTCCATGATTATTATCATTTCAAAAATTAACATAATGTATTGTTTGTAAATTTTCAGTTTTGCTAAACATATCAAATCGTTAGTGTTAACGAAATTGGTACTAT